GAACATACGTAATGCCCATAGATAGTTAATATTTGTAAGAGAGATCACCAGGGAATACCAAATGCTGTTAATTAAGTTCACAAAACAGCCATGACAAACCACCTCTGAGTATCCCTTGCCTGTGTTGATGCCATAATTCCATGGGTGAAGGTGCATGCTACTCTTCCTACTATAGCTGTATTTACTGAATTAAATTAAATTCTGGATTTACTTCTTGACTGTAATAGAAGTCATAGAGCACAACCACAGGAGGTTATGGTTTTGTTGATTTTGCCATTTTCAATAATTTGAGTTCAGATTCCCAGAAAAGCATCTCAGTCTGAGAGAGATACCACCTATGAATCAATTTAAGCATGTGTTCCTTAATGGAAAGAGAGATTGAACAAATAGGTCCATTACAACAGACCTGATTCCATTTAGCATCCTCAATCCTTCTCCCAGACTACCTTATATCCCCCCTGAAGCAGTTAGAGAAACCTCAATCACAATATATGCCTTGGACATTAGAGCCCGATCTTGACTCAGAGCTGGTAATCACTGGTTTCAAAGGGATCAGTACTTGAAAGGCAGTGTATAACACTTACAGATGTACAGATACGTGTTTCAAAATATCTGCAGACATTGGGTTGGTCTACTCTAACTGAGCTTTGGTCTTCAGAGCTCAGCTGTTTTTGGCAAAGCGTGAGAATATAAATCTTGATATCAATACATACAACACCTTTTCCATTCTCAAATCCACTTATCTACATCATCAAATAAAAGATATGTTAAATATATAATATAGAATTGGCACCATACAAAGTTTCTTAAATTTAGTTGAATTCATTAAATTATTTTTCATTTCTTCTGCATTTTCAATAAATCATTTAAGAGAAACTTTGCAATCAGGAGATAAATGCATTTGAAACTGGAAGAATAATAAACTTGTGAGGCTATTGGTTTTGCTTTTGTGAGACATCCTGCAGCACATTTTGCTATAGTTTTTCAATGAGTATCTCAACCAATTCAACATAGTTTGTGGCAGCCACAAAAATGAAGTTCTGGAATATAGCAACTACTGTCAAAGTAAGTACCACACAATGGGCTTGTTACCTCTCCTCTAGAGTAGAAAGTAGAAACAGCTTTAAGGAAGCATTAAATTCAAAGCAGAAAGGCCTAAGGAGGGGAAACAGCCTGCAATGAAAATCAAGAGAAAAGAGAGGGCTTTTTAAAGGAAGCCCAAGGTAGGATAGCTCCAGGTCATTGCTTTTCCCTTCCCTGGGAAGTGGGAAGCCTCCTTAAAATGCCTTGGAAAGCTGCATGCAGGGAGAGAGCACATGCTGTCTCCTCTAGAGTAAAAGCAGCTTTAACAAAGAGTTAAACCCAGATCTCTTCTACAGACCAATGGGAAAGAATTGCAGAAGGAGTGGTATCTTAAGTCCTTTCTTTAAGCCCAGGTGTCCTCTGCAGACCGAAGGGGAAAGGATAGCAGAAAGAGTGGTATCTTAACTCTGATGTTTTTTAATCCAGGTCATAATAAAGGATATTAGGACAAATGATGCCACTGCCTAAAATGATGGGAAGGGGAGCCTTCCCCTATGTTATTTAAAATTTTATTTATTTATTTAAAACTTTTATATCCTGATCTTCTCAACCTCCACAGAGGGACTCAGACTGGCTAACAGCAAGGATTCAATGCCATAATACAGTCTAAAACATCATACAACGACAATAGATTAAAATACATATAAAATAAAATACATATAAGCCAGTTTTCCAAGATAAAATCATGTCCAACTCAGTCCACATATGTCAATAACTTCAGTCTGTTGCCAGTCTCAGCCATTATTCTGGGAATGCTTCATTCCATAGCCAGGGATTCACTAGCTTCCTAAAGGTCAGGAGGGAGGGGGCAATCTCATTTGGGAGAGAGTTCCATAGCCGAGGGGCCACCACGGAAAAGGCCCTGTCTCTCCTCCCCACCAGACGCAATTGCGAAAGTGGCGGGACCGAGAGCAGGGCCCCTTCAGAAGATCTTAACAGTCTTGATGGTTCATAGGGGAGAATACATTTGGACGGGTAAACTGGGCCAGAATCATATAGGGTTTTGCCACCTAGCCATATTTTCCAGCTGTGGTCTGAAAGTGGCCATCCGGCTGTGCGCCCGTTTTTGGGAGGCACACAAAAACAGATACCAGGGCCTACCAGTATCCAGTCAGCAGAAACAGATCAAGGTTCAGCCAAAATGCACAAGCCTGCCACACAATTAAACGGGATACAACACTTTCAAACCAGGAACAGGTTTCTTTTTTCAAATTTTGTTACATAATATTATAAGTAGATTCCAAGGAAGGGGGCCAAATGTTCACAATGCAGCAATGCTCATTAAGGAACATCAACACAAGAACAGAAATAATTTGGCAACTGTTTCTTGACACCTTCTGTTAAAAGTCCCTTAGATTTTTTTAGATTTGAATGGGAAAAGACTGCCTTGTATTTCAGCCAAACATTCAGCATTTTCCCACTGTTTCTGAGACCAGTTCTCAACAGAGAACTCCTAACCAACTCAGCCATGAAACTCATAGTTAATACATGACACCAAGGTTGCTCTCCTCAAAGGACCAAAAAGGAGAGATCTGGGATTTGAAACACAGAAAAATATGCCATTCTAGCAAAACAGCTAGGTCGGTCTCAGGCAGAATTACAGCAATAATCTAGTGCCGGTTTTAAAAATAACAAAACCCTAGTTCCTTCTGGCATGAGCTGTGTATGAGGAAAGAGGCAATAGCAGGTCAAGTCTCTTCCTATAAGACATAAGTCTCCTTCCTTATTTGTTGCATGAGGATACAGATAAGATAGACAAAATTGGTTTTTAAATGGGAAAATGTAAACAAAGATGCTTGGGAAAAATGGTTCTGTTTGCTCACTAATCTGGATTAAACACAACTCATGCTGAAATTATTAAGGAAACGCAAGGCAGTACAATTTTGAATGCAGTTGATATTCAACATTTTCATGACAAGAGCCATTGAAGGAGAAAAAAGCAGCAATTTTATCATCCCGATGCCTATATTTTTTTACTGGCAAATCAAGCATAAAATTGGGAGCCGAAACAAATGCTTCCAGCAAGGCTGTCTCAAAATCTGTCTCTTCGTCTTGGTCACTTGGTTACAAACGGCTGTCATTCTTGAAACAAAGTGCTTTTGTTTAAATGTGCTCTTCTTGCTGAAATGTTTGAGAAATAAGAGGTAACTGTTTGTTTTAGTACAGAGCAAGCTCTGTCATAGAAAAATATTTCTTTTTTCTTGTTTGTTAGGTTTTTCATAAGAAAATGTTCCTATTTATCTTCATTTTTGTGCTGTGTGTGTTTTTAATACAGGCATTATATCAACGTTTCTTCACGTCCACCCTTTTGGGGCCAATATAGAATATCTTTGGTCTTATATGCAGCAGTTGGATTCCAAGGTAAATTAAGTTTGTTGATACTGGCTGTGGTATTATAGACTATAAGCCTGTACAGCAGTGGTTCTCAGCCTGTGCTTCACAGATCACCAGTGGTCCCCAAGAACTAAAATATGGTCCGCAGCCTCACCGTTACTACACCGCAAGGCACCTTGGTGTCTTCGTTTTTAGGCCTGTTCCTGGGGTATTTGGGGTGCTGACTCAGAAAATTGCATTAGATAGACCACATCAGCTCTAGATTATTAAATATGGTTTTCTGTGGATGAGCAGATGGCGACTACTGGATGGCATATGTTCTGTATCAGAAACTAGAGCTGATGTGGTCTATTCAATGCAATTTTCTGAATCAGGACCACAAATAACCAAACCGAATCTAAAGTTGGTCAAAAACCAATTTGTAACTCCTTTGGTACTAATATTAGAGAGTGGTCCCTGGTCAAAGTGGTCCCTGATTTTTTTAAGGTTGGGAACCACTGCTGTACAGGATCAGATAAGCTATTTGAACCAAGGGAAGAAAACTATGACCTTCTGGATGTTTTTGGAATGCAATTTCCACAAATCCTTGCCATTGGCTATACTGGGTAGATGGAAGGGAGGATTTGTAGGAAAGCAACATAGGAAAGTCAGAACTGCTTACTCCTGACATACACCAATAAAAGGCCAAAAGTAGCAATCTTCCCTTAAGCCATTGAAGAGCTAATCAATCTCATTTGTATTAATTAAAATACAAACAATCTTCAGAATCCTCTATTGAGAGACATATCTCCAGAATATTATATCTACAATAAGTCTTCTTTCCAGTGTGGAACCCCTCTCCACCCAAGATAGGGATTCTCGTGTTGGTGAGAATTGTAACAGATTAGCCTACCTTGGTGTAAAGTCAGAAAACAGGCCCATCTTGCAAAAGCTAAGCAGAGCTAAGGGAGTGGGGCGATCAGGCAGCCTCTTAGCCAGAAGTTCCGTCTGAATGGCTGATGAAATTGGAGGGAAAAGCTTAGCAACTGGTGATGGTTAGAGCCAGAGGAAACGAGAAGAAGTTGAGGCAGCCATTTTAGTTCAGTGAGAAATGTGGTGTGGAAGAAAAAGAGTAAGGAGTTTGGTGTGGAAGAGTTAGGAATTTTGAAGGGGGAAGGAAGGAAGGAAGCGATTTGGGAACTTTTTGTTATATGAAAGATACCTCTTTGAGGACAATAGTTAATAGGCCTCTATAGTGATTAGAGTGCTGTTGGAGGAAGGGAGATTCAAAAGGTTTAAAAGAAAAAGCATAGCAATTGGAGATGAGCAGAGCCAGAGGAAAAGAGAAGAAGTTCAAAGAAGCCAGAATGGATGTCCAAAGAACTTCTAACTGTGCTGAGACACAAAAGAGACATGCACAAGAAGTGGAAAAAGGGAGAAATCACCAAAGAAGAATTCAAACAAATAGCCAACACCTGTAGGAAAAAGGTCCGCAAGGCTAAAGCACAAAACGAGCTCAGGCTTGCCAGGGACATTAAAAACAATAAAAAGGGATTCTTTTCTTATGTCAGTAGAAAAAGGAAAAACAAGGAGGCGATAGGGCCTCTTCGAGGAGAAGATGGGGCAATGCTGACAGGGGATAGGGAAAAGGCAGAACTACTTAATGCCTTCTTTGCCTCGTCTTCTCACAAAAAGAAAGTCATCTTCAACCTCAGCAAGATGGAGTGGATGAGGGATTAGAGGACATCCAACCCCAAATTGGGAAACAAGTCATCCAGGAATACCTGGCCGCTCTAAATGAGTTCAAGTCCCCAGGGCCAGATCAACTCCACCCAAGAGTATTGAAGGAACTAGCGGAAGTCATTTCGGAACCATTGGCAACCATCTTTGAGAGTTCTTGGAGAACGGGAGAAGTTCCAGCAGATTGGAGGAGGGCCAATGTGGTCCCAATCTTCAAGAAGGGAAAAAAGGATGACCCAAACAACTACCGTCCGGTCAGCCTCACGTCAATACCAGGCAAGATTCTGGAAAAGATTGTTAAGGAAGTGGTCTGCAAACACTTAGAAACAAATGCGGTCATTGCTAATAGTCAACATGGATTTATCAAAAACAAGTCATGCCAGACTAATCTGATCTCTTTTTTCGATTACAAGCTGGGTAGATGCGGGGAATGCCGTGGATGTAGCGTACCTGGATTTCAGTAAGGCCTTCGACAAGGTCCCCCATGACCTTCTGGCAAGGAAACTAGTCCAATGTGGGCTAGGCAAAGCTACGGTGAGGTGGATCTGTAATTGGTTAAATGGACGAACCCAGAGGGTGCTCACCAATGCTTCCTCTTCATCCTGGAAAGAAGTGACGAGCGGAGTGCCGCAGGGTTCCGTCCTGGGCCCGGTCCTGTTCAACATCTTTATCAATGACTTAGATGAAGGGCTAGAAGGCAGGATCATCAAGTTTGCAGACGACACCAAATTGGGAGGGATAGCCAATACTCCAGAGGACAGGAGCAGAATTCAAAACCATCTTGACAGATTAGAGAGATGGGCCAAAATTAACAAAATGAAGTTCAACAGTGACAAATGCAAGATTACTCCACTTTGGCAGGAAAAACGAAATGCAAAGATACAGAAAGGGGGACGCATGGCTCGGCCTCGAGGGCAGTAAGTGTGAAAAAGATCTTGGAGTCCTCGTGGACAGCAAGTTAAACATGAGCCAACAATGTGATGTGGTGGCAAAAAAAGCCAATGGGATTTTGGCCTGCATCAATAGGAGCATAGTGTCTAGATCTAGGGAAGTAATGCTACCCCTCTATTTCGTTTTGGTTAGACCACACCTGGAATATTGTGTCCAATTCTGGGCACCACAATTCAAGAGAGATATTGACAAGCTGGAATGTGTCCAGAGGAGAGCGACTAAAATGATAAAAGGTCTGGAGAACAAGCCCTATGAGGAGCGGCTTAAGGAGCTGGGCATGTTTAGCCTGAAGAAGAGAAGGCTGAGAGGGATATGATAGCCATGTATAAATATGTGAGAGGAAGCCACAGGGAGGAGGGAGCAAGCTTATTTTCTGCTTCCCTGGAGACTAGGACGCGGAACAATGGCTTCAAACTACAAGAGAGGAGATTCCATCTGAACACGAGGAAGAACTTCCTGACTGTGAGAGCCGTTCAGCAGTGGAACTCTCTGCCCCGGAGTGTGTGGAGGCTCCTTCTTTGGAAGCTTTTAAACAAAGGCTGGATGGCCATCTGTCAGGGGTTATTTGAATGCAATATTCCTGCTTCTTGGCAGGGGGTTGGACTGGATGGCCCATGAGGTCTCTTCCAACTCTTAGATTCTATGATTCTATGATTCTAAGTTGAGGCAGCCATTTTAATTCAGTTAGAAGTTTGGTGTGGAAGAAGAAGAGCTAGGAGTTTGGTGTGGAAGAAGACAAGTTAGGAGTTTTGAAGGGGGAAGGAAGGAAGAGATTTGGGAACTGTTTGCTATATGAAAAATACCTCTTTGAGGACAATAGTTAATAGGCCTCTATAGTGATTAGAGTGCTGAGGGAAGAAGGGAGATTCAAAAGGTTTAAAAGATCCTGTTTGGATTCCTGTGTGGGGAACTTTGTTTTAAGAAACTCAAGACAAAAGTACCATCCTCTGTAAGAAGTAAAGCCTGACAAGTTATTTGAAACCATTACGCATATTGGCTGTTCAAAATAAACAACATATTCCTGTTTTATTCCAACTGAAGACTTCATGTGGCTTTTTAAACGTTCCATTGAAGGAGGTGGCCTATGAAATAATAAATTGGTGGCAGCAAAAGAACCTTTAATAAATAATTGGAGGCAGCAAAGGCAAAATATAATATACAGTGGTGGCTTCCCACTGCCTGGCCCTGTGTGTGGCGGGGGGTGTCTCTGATCCCCTCAAAGTCTTGCCTTGGTCCAGACCTTGCTGTTTTGTCCTTTGTCCTCCATCTTGTGTCTTGTTGTGTTGTGGTGCCTGTTGCAAGTATCATGGGAATCAGCAGGGACATGTCCAGCTTTTCCTTTGCTTGATATACTGTGACAGGCAGAGAGCCAATGTGGTATACTGGTCAGGGCACGGCATTGTGACTATTCAAATCCTTGCTAAATTGGAAACCTTGGGCACATTTTCTATGCTACAGAAAGAAGCAGAATAAATCTTTCCAACAAACACCAGTGATAGGTTCAACTTAGAGTTGCCATAATTTGGAAATGACCTGAAAACTCAACATCCTCTGAGTCTTTGGAAGATCTCTGAAAATATCATTATTGCTGTGCCTCCTCCTAAAGGAGAACAGCCATTTGAAGGACTGCCACATGAAAAAGTAAATTTTAAGGGAATTTTATTCTTCACTATGTAGTTGAAACAGAAAAAGTGGGTTTTTGTGGCATGCCTTAGACTTATACTAGTGTAACGCACTGACAGGATGCTCATCCATGTTACATTCAGACCCATTTTCTATCATTTTTTAATCTGAAAAAAAGTGTTCATGGATATCTTTAGATAGAGGAACTCAACAAGGAACATTCCATCCATCTAAATAAGTCCAACCAAACATTTATTTTATCTGATTTTAAAACAGATTAGATAAATGTGCTGGACTTGTTCTGTATATCGATCAACCTTATCATAAACTGAACAGAAGGAAGAAACCATTCTGCCCCATTTCAAGTATTTTAAAGGCAGTCAGATAGGATCTGTGGCTATTGTTAATGTGGAATAGGCACCCGTTTCTACTCCCTTTTTCTCATGGATGTGTTCCTTTCCATCATTTCAAGCTTCTCCTAAGACCTTTTAAAAGGAAGTAGCAGATATTGATGTATAAGAAGCAAGGGAAATGCATAAATACTAAACTAAATACAAATTCTTTATGGCACAGGAACTATGCTATGTCTGTGCTCTTAATACCCTGTGGACTCACTACCCCAGTGGTTGTTCTATGGCTTGTAGAGAACACACATCTGTGTGTATGCGAGAGAGGGGGGAATAATCTACCCATGTCCCCGCAGCCAAGCACAGAATGCTTGTATCATGCACTTTCAGGCTCCTTTGGGGTTATCATTCAGCATCTGATTATAGGAATATAGCCAGAAACTTCTCTGAACACCACCACCATCCCAGCAAATGCTCCACCAGCAGCAGAATGGAGGTGAGGAGTATCAAGCAACTAAAGAGTGAGTCTGTTAGTTGCAGATAGTCAAATATGAAATCTCTGTAACAACTAAAAAAAACCACATATGTAGGCACAAAATGCACTTATGCCTACATATGCCAGCTAACGTGTGCCAACTAAGTACTGCCCAAGCTTAAAGCAAAGTGAAGCATGAAACATTGAATACAGCAATATCACCAGGGAATCTGCTACCCCGCTCTCCTCAGATACCAAGCTAATTTAGTTTTCTGATGCCAAGCAAGAAGAGATTTCCACACATTTATCAGAGACGAGATCTTATTCACCTGTAGTCTTTGATTCATTCATCCATTCATGCACTCACAGATAAATGCAAGATATTTTCCTTACTCTATTTTGTTGCTGTTCTCATAGAGGCTGGTGATGCAAGTGATTTTTTTCAAGAAAATGTGTATTTCTGTCTAGGGGAAATGTGTACTTCATAACAAAATAAAAAGAGAAGTACGGCCATTAAGTGCTGCAGAGTGCTTAATAATATTCTCCTGTTATGAATCTTCAAGACAAGTATTTGGGGCTAGAGATGTTAAAGAAAGAAATCTTTCCTACTAAAGGTAATAAGTAGCATCACAACTTCATGTTGTGCTTGGTAGAAAAAAGGAAGATCATAAAAGTTTGTTCATGAGAGATGATCCACAGACCTGTCGCAGCATTCCTTATATCACTTCATTCTCATTCAATTTTTTTAAAAACATAGGATAAATTAAGACGATGAAAGGGAGGATAAAGGGGAGTGAGACATTTCTTAGGGATACCAATAAATGCTAGGTCAGTCAGTTTTAAACTCTCGTGCCAGCATGACTGAAGACTGACAGGTCGTAGGTTCGAATCCAGGGAGAGTGCGGATGAGCTCCCTTTGTCAGCTTTGGCTCCCCATTCAGGGACATGAGAGAAGCCTCCCACAAGGATGGTGAAACATCAAAACATCCTGGGCACCGTCCTTGCAGATGGCCAATTCTCTCACACCAGAAGTGACTTGCAGTTTCTCAAGTCGCTTCTGACATGTAAAAAAAAAGGCATTAAAAAGTAGGATCAGAATATAGGACTGCATGATACTTCAATCTCCCTTTAAAAAACATACTTAAATAATATGTCTCACTGATATTAACCACAGTCAGAGTTGGAGACATTACTTGTTACAGGAACTCATTAGATCTTATTCCCAACCAACTCAAAGCTTATATGTGCAGTTAGCTGAATTTTCTCAAGTACTTTTTTTAATACCCTTACCTCTCTGTCTCTGCTGCTGTCAACATTTAACATAATAAGCCTGCAGCAGCCATGTATTATCGCTCACCTGGGGCTCTATAAACCTTCCGTTCTTTAAAGAGGGGGTTAGTATTGCCCACAATACATTAAGAGGCCACACTATATTTACGTTGATGAGTCGTGAGTTGTTGCCCCCAGGTATGGCCTGTAATGCACACTGATTGTGCTGTATAAATAATAAAGGCTCTCAGGCTCAATGAATAGTTTAGACCCAAGTTTTGTATTTTCTCTTTCAACAGATATAGTTTGTACTATATCTGCTTCTCACTTACAAGCAAGAAGACTGATAAAAAGGAGATGTATTTGTGCCTTGGGTTGAGTTGGAAATAATACAGCTTCTTTATTCCTCTGTTTTTCGAGCTGGTCTGAAATCTCTTTTTTCCGCATTGAAAAAGCAAAAGGTGCAGTGGCCTTTGGGATGTGCAGTATTCCCAAGGGTTATTGTACTTATTTTAGCCTGACCCCAAGAGAAATTGGATGGCTTGTTAAGCTTTCCTGTCATTTCACCGGGGTTGTTTCAAACTGCCAGTATTCTTCGTTGAGTCTAGCTCAGGAGAATTTTGCTGGTTTCTCTGGATGAAATATAAGACAATTCTATAAGTGCCACCAAAGGCTTTACCGAAATAAGCATGATAAACCTCCACTGTCAGAATGGCTGATCGTGTCAATCCATCCCGAGATCCCAGAAACATCTTTTGCTGTTTTTCCGTCTCCTTTCCTAGATCTCTGCAAATGAAATAGAAATGCTTTTGATGAAGCTTCCACGCATGTTTAAGCAAGAATTTTCTGGTGTCGGAGCAACATTGGAGAAGAGATGGAAGTTCTGTGCCTTTGAAGGAATTAAAACAACTTGACGGTGGATTGGATTGGAGCTGACTGGTGAGGGGGAAATCTTCATGAGTTATGACAGCAGGAGTTCTTCAAAGTTATCAATGGAAGACAATTGGGTTTGGCATATACATTTCCAGAGTGCTCCAAGCCTGGCTTTAGTTACATTTGTAATGTCCTCTTGTGAAAATGTAGTTGTGTACCAGTTTCAAAATGCAAAATGGGGGGAGAAAGACTTCTGAAATGTGACCAGTGTTTCCTATGAAAACTCAGTAAAAATACTACAATCATAATGATATTATTTAAAATAGGCTCCTTTTAAAACTAGCTCCCTGAGCAAGTAGAACGAATTCTGAGCTTACTAAGCTCCAACAATGTATATGTAATATGTAGTAGATCTTCCTCAAGTTCCATTCCTGAGAGTCTTTCCGTTTAATAAGAAGACAGAAGTGATTTCACAATGAGAGAAAGCATACCAAAAGTAAACTTGAAAATGTGTCTCAACAGTTATTGTATTTTGTAAATTACGTTATCTGCCGTACCAGGGACTTTTGCCTTATTGCTAGAGGCCTGAAAAAATGTGATTGGATTCCTTGAGAATGCTTTATCCAAAATATTATTTTTCTAACTATTCTCCATTCTGAGTTCATTTAACATGGATCGCATATTGATTTTCATAAACGTGTAAATAAAGAGGAAGGCAGTGTTACTGTATTGTATTTGGTATGTAACATTCAGGATTATGCATCCAAAAATAAGTATCCAGTTGCATTACTGTTACAGATTTTATAGCAAATATATTAATTTTTTTTCAATAAATAGGAATTCTACCCTATTGGTTTTTGTGTCTGCCTTTCATTCTCTGCTTAAAAATCATCAATACACATACAGTATTACTGTAGTCATCTTTCTGCTGTGAAAACTATAGAGCCTGTTGCTATATATTAACTCCTCTGTTTAAGGAGTTATGTGGAAAAGCATCAAGCATCATCAGTTTGAGTCCAAGGACCTCATCATATTTGCCAGCAGGGAGAACCTGTCGCCCCACACCCCACATCATCCGACTTATCCCTAACCCCATCTCATAGGGGGAAATGTCCACCACCCAGCTTCCCCCCCCCCCCCTTGTTGCTAATAAAACATAGGAAGCTCTCTCCTGTTGCCATGGTGGTGGCAAATGCTGGCTCCTTTTCAGTTTTGCTATGGAACCCCACTGGAAGTAGCTGTACACCATGGAATAACAGCCAGTAGGCTCTGTGGCAAAGTTGAAGAGGAACCGGAACATGCCACCGAATTTTGGGCCGTGTAATGAGGTTGTGTGAAAGGAAAATAACACCTCGGGGCAGTTATACATAGAATACCTATATTGCAGAAAGTGAACTAATTTAATAATCAATAAGACATCTTGGTTTTTTTGCTTAAAATTCATAATAAACTTTACACGTTTTTCCATGTTATGGTTTATATCAAAAACAACATAAATTAATATTTTAAAAATTCTTCTCCCAAGACTTTGCTGTCGAATTAGAGATGTTGTATCTTAAATGTGGCCATAGGATTCAGCTAAAATATTTATTCGTGCCCTATTTATTTATTTATTTATTTGCTGTATTTGTATACCGCCTTTCTCAGCCCTCAGGCGACTCAGGGCGGTTTGCAGAGGCAATGATTCAATGCCCAAAAAACACCATAAAATGTTTTAAAGCATGAACACATCATATAAAACCATAACAATAGTATTAAAGACAATTACATCTCCTAATAAAAACATTGTCCAATCTCGTCGTCCAGTCGTTTCAATTCCTATGTCATTTACCTTGCATTTTCAAACCCTTGTTCAAACAACCAAGTCTTGACTTTTTCCCGAAATGTTAAGAGGGAGGGAGCAGATCTTATGTCCCCAGGAAGGGCATTCCATAGCTGAGGGGCCACCATTGAGAAGGACCTGTCTCTCGTCCCCACCAAATGTGTTTGTGATGCAGGCGGAATCAAGAGCAGGGCCTCCCTGGACAATCTTAAAGTCCTAGCAGGTTCATAAGGGAAAATGCATTCAGACAGGTAAGTTGGGCCAGAACCGTTTAGGGCTTTATAGGCTAAAGCCAGCACAGTTTGGGAGTTCTTTTGAAAGCAGGATTCAATCCGCTTTAACGAACCTTAAACTCATCTTTAAGCAAAATAACAGATCTATGTTTTCTGGAAGTGAATCATCCTGAGAGTTACAGTCTCATTCAGCAGACACAAAAATTTCCAACAGACTTAATTGCTCAACATGGAAAAGTGGAGCATCCAAAGGACAAAGCTAGGATACAACAGGATTTGGGATGGGGCAGAATGCACGTGGATACACCCAGATTTGGTCCTCATGTGTTCAACAATATGCTTGAAGAGAGCTAAATTAAACTCTAGAATTCATGCCGAAATTGCATCTGTAGCATCTAAAACACTATTTTTACTTTCTATTGGTTCACTGCTTCCAGCTCACAAAACTAGACTAGGGGATTACTCTATAAAATTGTGGAATGGAAAATTAGTTGGATTTTGCTCTGGACAGTTCCTTCTGTTACAAAATGAATAAATAAATACAAAATTTCCTGCCAGCACATATTCCCTTCCACATGCTGTGGAAGTTTCTATAAATCTCATATTGAAATGAGATGAAATAGATCCAAATAACTGAGTGTGCACAAGTTGTTCCTTATTCCTCTCTGCAGTTATATAAGAAAATGGGTTGTGTATGTTTTGGTAAATATGGAAAAATTTTGAGGGAGGAAAACTTGTCCTCGCAGATGCAGGAATGTGATATGCCGCTCGCTGCTGGACTCTGCTCATTATCCCTTATTTTAATAAACAAAGAGCTGGGACTCTGTTTCTGTGATGAGAAACGACAAAATCTTTTACACAGGAAGACATATTTGATTAAATGATGCCAGATGGTTGCTGAGAACCAGTGGTTAGGGGAGAGTTTTCATTTTTATTTTGCAATGTGCAATTTGGAAGCTGAAACCTATTTATTTGCAGAACATGTGCCATGCAGTTTGAGGGTTCCAGAAGCATTTTGTATCCCCAGCCTTTCTCTACCATCTGCTGCAACCACATAGATCTGCTGTAATGAACTCCTGTTGCCTTGGAACTACGGGAACCACCCATTTTCAAAAAATATGACTACCTGAAGGCGTTTGAGAGAGGTTTTTCTCTATTGTGAAACTTCCACTCTGCAAACATTCAGAAGAAATTACCTACCCCAGTGCCTTCGCATAAAATATTTAGTACCCCATCAAATGGTGAAATCAGCTCTCAGTATTCTCAAAATATGAAAGGTCAGGAAACCAAGTCCTATGAGGAACATCTCAGGGAGATGGATATGTTAAGCTTGGGGAAGTTGAAGAGGAGATATTATAATCCTCCTTAAATATCTGAAGGGATGTCATGTAAATGATGGAGTGAGCTTTCTTGTCCCTTTGCTGCTTCAGAAACTAGAACAGAACCAATAGATGGAAAATACATGAAAAATAGACTCCATTAAACATTAGGAAGAATTTCTAAACTGTAAAAGCTGTTCAACAGTGGAACAGACTGCCTTGGAGGGTGGTAGACTCTGCTTGGAAGTCTTTAGAGAGAGATTGAGTAGCTTTCTTTCAGGAGTGCTCATTTGTGTATTCAAGCGTGGCTGAGGTTGAACTAGGTGGCCCTTGCGCTCCTTACTAAATCCACAGGGGACGTAAAGGGCAAGCAAAATGTTTCAGTGTCCCCAGCTCCTCTCTTTCTCCCCTTCCTTCTTCCCTTAAATCTCATGGTATAATTTTCAGAGCATCCCTCCTTCCCAAAAAAAAAAAGGAAATGTGTTCAAAGTTATCTATAATATGTGTTGGGGGGGGGAGGTAAAGAGACAGGGAGATCTTGCGAGTATAACGGGACATCTCTACAGGTGCAAACAGGGTCACAAAAGCAAATCATATTATGTGAGAAAGCTCATTTGAAGTTATAAAGAGTGTTATACAGGCAATCTTTGGGTTATGAACAAGAATATTTTTAAGGGTAAGTCAGAACAGGTACATTTTAAAGTGTAACTCCAGCCAAAAATACTTTTGAAAAATTGTTTTGGATAGCATAAGGAAGGCTTAACACTCCTGAAACATTTGTTTTCCTGTTGACACCCCTGTTCATTTTCTGTCCCTGTGATAATTGGATTTTGAAAATTTTGAATTGTTGTGGAAACAAGGTGTGGTGACAAAACTTCAGAGGAGACGTCTTTTCTGCAAGATAACTATTTCATGATAGAATTTCCTTTCCAAGGGGCAGATTTCCTCTCACTACCTGTTGTCTCACCCCCATTTGTAACTAGGAGTTGAATATAAGACAGATATTTGTAACTCGTGGACTGCCTGTATAAATAATAAGCTTTGCAAGCATCAACTTAACACAGTAAGATGGCTTTTTAAGGACTTCATCAGACAGGCAGGTGGGAAGTGGGGGAAAGTGTTCCAAAGAGCTGGGAAACAATTTTATCTCATTCTCTCCCAGCAGGGTCTATCATCCCACAAACTTTCCCAGTCTTCTATTCACTTTCCCTTGCTCCCCCCCTCCAAAATTTCTGGAAGCAGGAGTCAGGTAACACTCTGCTCCTGAAAAGGGAGTCTTCTCTCCCTTGTAGCATGCTGGCAAAATGGAATACCACGGCTGGCCACCAGAAGTGGCCATGTGTCATGGGATGGCCTTTGTGGGACTCCGTTTGTCCAGTGTGAAAATGGATGGAACACGGAGGCAAACATCCATGTGATGAGGTCCCTAAACTGCCATTTGATAAAGAGTACCCTCTATTGATCTCACTAGAACATCTAAGTTAATGTGTACTGGAGTAAACATATTTAAAATACTAATGGATTCTACTCTAACTATTTCATTGACTGAGTTTGATAGGAAATAAACTAATTACGTCTTTAAATGCAGTCTGACTTTGTTTGATAGTCTTCTAGCCATGGGAGATGTTTGCTAACAGCCATATACCTCTGTGTGTTTGTTGAATGGAGCAAGAAGACCAAGGCTAATTCACATTATGAACTAGCTCATGTAAACACAGTGAAACATCTTATTGGCTCATCAGGGAGCCATTTGCTACTAAGAAAAATCGCACCAAGAGAGAGAAGCCCAACACATTTCTCACAGCTTCAAAGAGTAGAAAATCAATGCAGAGCAATACATCTATAGACAAATCATAGCTTTACGTCTTTAAAGTTACCCTAAAGTCTTATTGAGAGATTAAGAAAAATATTTTGGGATTATAACTGCCAGAGTCTCTAACCAACATAGCCAATGGATTTTATGGTGAGAGATTCCGGAATTTTTCCAAGCTCCAAATTTACCTTTGGCTTCATACCATTTCTACTATAGGTTCATCTACACCTCTTTTTTCCCATCTCATCTGCAGATTACCCAATTGTATTGAGTTCAAAATTATAAAGTTAATAACTTTTCCAAATTAATGAACTTCCATTACTTTTTAGACTCAGTGTGGAAACTGGCTTTCTATTGGCACAGAATCTGAGTGGCTTTGATGGACCCTGTTAGTGGCACTAAGCGTCTAATTCATTACTAAGGACCATATGACACCAATACAGTTTTCTACATAGGTCTCCAAGTACTTTCTTCCTATTCATCCTGTGAGAAAGTATTTGTCATCATATCATAATGATGGAAGCAACCATTGGCATGCTAGTTATGAATTACATTTATATCATATAAATGCCCATTGTTCTCAAAAACAGAGTGATAAAAATTCCATCACAGAAGTGCCATGTTGGAACAGACCAAAGATCAATATGTAGAACCATCAACCCA